TCACTGCCTTGCAACTGCTACCTTTACACAGATTCATCAATGTTAAAGCAGAAAGTGGTGCCGGATGTTATCTGGTCCACCAAACTTCTATTTTAATAACAACTGTGACCTCTGAGCATGGCGCTTGGTCCAGTCTCAACTTTTCATTGAGCATGGATCTAAATGCAAAGGACTTGCAGAGTTAAGCTAACATTAATCAAGAGAGACTCTATGCTCCCATCTCTGCTACTGAGGTATGTAACCACCACCGGTCTTTGACCAGCTAAGGAAATGTACTGCTCACCCAGAATCTTCAGGTGTTTCAGTGGAAATGAACCAGTTGCCCCTTGGAAAAAACTGTTGAAAGGCGTTCAGAGAACCCTACACCTCTGTCTAGCTGGTGACATTCCAGGTCTCCTATCCGGTTGCCAATAGGCTGCTTTTTAGATCAGTTCGGCTTTCATGTACTTTTTTCTTGAGGTCATAGAAGCTGAAGGTTGGAAAAGCAAATAGAAAGGGGGGGAGAATAGCCCCATATTTTCTTCAGCTTAGCAATAAGCAGGAAAGTCAAAGAACATTTTCTTAACAATGAGATCTCTGTAATAATACTGGATAGAAATACAACAGGCACTGGCAGGAGTCCTGACCAACAGACACCCAAAGGTTCTGTGGTGGGTGGCTCCCTTTCTGCCTCCCCTTCCTCCACTGTGTCTGAGGCAGTGGGCAGTAAAGCTGATATCACCATGACAACATGATGCTTTTACGTATTTTAAAAATTGTTTCCAAATACATAGATTATATCTGAGAGAAGATCCTCTCAATACAGAGGCATATCTTATATCTTGAGAGGCAGACTGAAAACTAGCCTCAGTGTGATTCCAAGCTCGCTGTCATCCCTACCCCTGCACGCAACCTTGTACCTTGTATCCTTGGCCCTGCTTGTCTTCAGACAGTGCTGTCTCTAATCCTAGCAGTCAGTGAACTTTAGGGAAAGTTACTGGTTTTTTTCTGGGCATTGTTCCCTTTGTCTGCCAAAGGCACAAGAGGAAGTAGGTCACCTCTAGGGCCTCCTTCCACAGCATTCAACAGTCAAAATGAGTCAACTGCATGCGCTAACCCACTGTCCTGCTCCCTTCAAATACAGGTCTCTCTATCCTGCCAGAAGTAAGAGTATATAGGAATTTCCCTAGGGCCAGGCAAGAGAACAGGCTGTCAGTGTGTGGGGATGGAGTAGGTGATAGCAGAAAGAAGTTTTAGAAAGCGTGAGTGGAAGTAGGAACTTAGGAAAAATTCTGAGGTCCTTGTTTGGAGGGGCAGTCAGTTCTTCAAAGTGATAAGTGACAAGACAACAGTTGCAGCCACAGAACCCCCTCTGACCTCTGCAGGGCTACTCCTGAGATGATGACCTGAATCACGGGGCATGGGGCAGCCACGGGCTCTGCTGGTGATCTGGAAACATGTCACTGGATATTCCCAAGATGGTTCAAAAAAAAAAAAAAAAAAGGAAGAAAGAAATGAGCATTTGAATTTAAAAGCTTGGTAAGTGTTAAACAACAAAGGAAGGCAGCCCAAAGTATACTGATTGTGGTAAGGTGTGGTAAGAACATATTTACACAGATCATTTCTGGAATATTAGCTAACAGTTTGGGGAGTGGGACTCTTTGTGGAGAGGACAAGGGAGGAAGGACAGAGACTCATTGTTTACTGCAGTTAGAAAGAGAACCGTGTCAATTTCATTTTCTAAGGATTGTCAACACGCATGCTGGCTGACCTATGAATTGTGGTATGTGGCATATGAGCTGCTTTCCAACCAGTCAGTTATGGGGATATACTTAGTCATTCCTAAGTCACACTTGTCCTGTGAAAGAACGTGTCCCTGGATAGAGAGAGCTTGCATGTGGCAGTGGGATAGACCCTAATCTGGAGCCTGGTTCCACACCTAAAGTGAGTCTATGTAGCACTGAGCATTTTAGTCCTGGGTCCTGCTTTTCTCAGCAAAGCATGCAAAAATGATACCCACTTTGTGGATTCATTATAGGATGGGACCAGATAACAGAAGTGATAGCATTTATTGAGATTCCATCTCACTCACTCTGAATGCTATCATAATGAAAATGAATAATGACAAATGCCGACCAGAACTGGGGAAAGTAGAACCCCTCTTCACTGCTGGTGAGAATGTAAACTAATGTAGCCACTAAGGAAATCACTATGCAGTTCTCTCAGGAAAGCTAAACATAGGAATACCATGAGATCCACCTATACCACTTCTAAACATAGACTGTTAATCTTAAAGATTGGAGGAGAAAGACCATCAGCAAAAATCACCCTGGCCAATTAGTTAAACAATTAATTAAAGCAAACTTTCTTATTTGTATACATGGGCTGCCTCTCCCCTAAGACAGGGCTCCAGGGTCAGCATCAGGAATTATATAAACAAGGATTTTATGGCTCAGGGGCAGGGGATTTCCCCATTCTGGCAGGCAAAATGGGCGGAGTTAGAGGAGTAGAACATAACAGGTGGTCAAAACCGGGCAGTCAGAACAGACAGGCGATCATACAACCTTTTAAAACAAAGGTAGGGTGCAAAATGGTTATAACCAACTTTTTGAAAGAAAAACATGATTGTCATTCTTGGAACAGGCAGTACAAAATCATTTGTAGTTAAGGTTACAGGTAGGGCATAACCCACTCCTTGAAAAACAGAGATTTCATTATGAACAGGAATGAGCCTATTTTTTTTATAAGATGGCCTTTAAGTCTAAGATGGAGACAGGCTGACTCTTCAATACCCAAAGGACCCCAAGTTGTACCACAGAGATATTTGCACACTTATATTTGTTGTTGCACTATTCACACTAGCCAAGGAATAAAACTGGCCTACATGCCCATCAGCAGAGGAATGGCTATACAGAATGTGCTACATATACAGAATGGAATTTTGTACAACCATAAAGAAAAGTGAAATCTTGACATTTGCAATAAAATGAATGCAACTGAAAACAATTGTGCTAAGCAAAATAAGCCAGACTCAGAAAGAATAAAAAAATATTGTCTCTGATAGGTGGTACCAAGGTTTGTGGTGTGTGTGTGTGTGTGTGATGTATTTGAACTTAAAATGGTTTGGATAAATGTTCAATAGACTAGAAAGGGGTGAGGGCAGAGGAAGAGACTATAAGGGAGGTGAGAAATAAAAACACAATGGAATTGTTTACATTAGGAAAGCAGAAGTTAGGGTTAACTGGAGGAAGAAAGGGAACCAGCTGGTGGGGACAAGAGAGAGGGCATTGGGGGAGGGGACCGATAAGAAGTGTGAAGATGTCAAGACGAAGTCATCACTTTGTGTCCTAATTTTAAAAGTTAGTTTAAAAATATGAAAGTAAGAATCATAACAGCAATGGCAGCAATTTTTATGCCCTAGATACACAGATGGTGCACTATCTACATTATCTAGGCCAGGATCCTGGCTCTGCCCCAACACCAAAACTAATAGAGATTCATTGGTAGATTGATTGATTTCACTGACACTTACATATATTTGCCACGTGCCAGGTACTCTTTCAAATTCTACAGTAAACAGTGACTCGTAAGAATCCTAAGAGATATGGCCTGAGGTGTTATCACACCCATTTTACAAATGATTTGTCCAGATTACAAAGCCATGGTGGAATGAAGGCAGAATTCCAGTCCATGAAATGAGGACAGTCACTCTTATATAGAATCCACCTCTGCAAAATTGGAAACGCAGCCCATCATCTTTCAAACAATTGGCTTTCTGAGGAGGAATGTGCTGAGTGTATACCTCAGAGAGGTTTCTTCCCTCCTGCCCATGGCTCTGTGAACAAAATGGGAACTAGACCATCCTTTGGTTTCTGGAAAGCAGCCGTGATCGATCAGCCCCAGAAGCTACAGAAAACCTCCACAGAGTTTCAGCACACAGGGTTGCCTCTGGTTACATTCTGCTGCTTCTCTGCAGCCTCAGATGAAATAGGAAGAACTCAGCTGTGCTTGGTAAATTACTGGGTGCACCGAGAGAAAGAGGAACATCCACTTCCGTTGTCCAGGATAAAGGAAGAGGCAGGGTAAAGAGTGACTGCACAGGTAAAAGGTGTGGTTGTAGAGCTGGTCTGCTCAGGAGCTGACCACGGGTAGTGAAGCCTGAGGGAGAACTTGGAAGCATCAGCAAGCAACTTATGCCAAGGGGCAGAAGCCAAATAGTGTGCCCAGCATGTGCTTAAATTGTATCTAGTCATGGGCAATGAAAAGACACTGAGCCATGGAGTAAGATTCTCAACTTCTCCCTTGAGAAAGAAAATTCTAGAACAGCTTGGAAGACCAACTTGGGGGCTGCAACACTGGACATAAGTGACTGAGTAGGAAACCACTGCTGTGTCTAGATTAGAGATGACAACAGGCAAGAAGAAATGGGCAGTAGAGAGATCAAGTTACAAGTTGTCATAGGCAAATTGACTTTCTGATAAAAGAAAGTGGATGAAGTTAAGAGGACCCCAAAGTTTGGTTTATGTTGGAATAACAAAGTGGAGAACGGTGTTGTCATCCAGCAGAGAGAGCAGAGCAGCAGGACTTGGTATGAAGAGCCCAACTTGAGCTAGGTATCTGGGGTGCATCTATAGATGCACTTTCCTGTATGAAGGGCTGGAGATACAGATTTGTGAATTGTCGGTCTGAAAGGACCACCTCAAGCCCAAGCATTGGGTGAGATTATCCATGGAAATGCAAAGAATGAGTCAGGTACAGAACTATCAAGAGCAAATCTCAACCGAAATCCAAGGGAAAAAACAGAAGTTCCCCTGAAAGGATCCAGCAAAGCCTCATGGAAGACCTGTCTGGAAATCAGCACGTACATATCAAGCCTGACTCCATAAAGAGTACACTGACATAGGCAAGAGCCTTGCGTCCATCAGAATCAGGGAGAGAGTTCATGAGATGACAGTGGATCTCCCTGCACCTGGCCCCTGGCCCTTCCCAGATGGCCCCAGTCCTTAGAGACTGTATCCTGCTTGATTGTTTCCTCATCTTAACACAGGCTGCTGTTTCTAAAAGTCATAAGGGCTGGGAATAGAGCTTGCAGAAAGGAGGGATTCCCTCATGGTTGCATCCAATCCTAGCATATACCAAAGCACCCAGTTCATAATGCCACTGCCTAAAGGGGTTTGGTTCCTACACATGAATTGGAGAGAGGAAGAACACAAGTCAGTAACTTACGTTTTAGTTCAGTTTCTCCTGTGGCCTCCCACGCTACCTCTCACACCAACTAATGTTTGCATCTTACATCAACTCAGGGCCCTTTGTTACTTTGTCCAAGTGTGGCTTGGAACGTGTTTCTTTCCAAGTTCCAAAGGACTGAGCTCCAAAAAACTAGGAAGTATTTCTTGAGTTGAATGTTAGATTTGGGGTTATCCTTATACTGGCCACAATTGAGACCACAGATGAGATGTTCAATGTACAAATTGGAAGGGGGGAGGTGAGGGATGAAGAGAAAACAGGACAAAAATTTGAGGGAACTCAACAAAGAACACAAGTCAGCAAGGAGTTCAAAAGTCATCTTCAAGAAGACTGAAAAAACCCAAGAGCTACAGATACCTAAATGGAAACAGAAGATCAAAGTGCAAATTGACACTGTGCAAAGTTCTAAATGACATACATTGGCACAATAGGCCTAGTGGACGCAGGATTGTGGAAGTCTCTGGAAGCTTGCTAAATAGACATTGCAGTCACACAATGAGTGTGGAAGTCTTACAGTTAGAAAGCAGTAGGAAATCTCGCTCCATAAACATGATGATGGTAATCAAGTGCTGAGACAGCTTTTTTTTTTTTTTTTTTGGTTTTTTTCGAGACAGGGTTTCTCAGTGGCTTTGGAGGCTGTCCTGGAACTCGCTTGGTAGTACAGGCTGGTCTCAAACTCACAGAGATCCGCCTGCCTTAACGCCACCTTTGCTTCCATTGTTCTTTGTCCAGGGAGCATTTGAAAAGTGTGCTGTCCTGGGGATGCCTGTCCACTCCTTCTTGTCTGGCCTTAGTCAAGGTGAGCTTCAAGACCCAGAAGGAAAGGAGCACAAAAAGGTCCTATTCTTCCTCCTCTGGAATCCATACTCTTTCTCATGTGACAGGATCAATAGATAACCCAGAGGGACTGGATTTGACTGGGACATTCTCTCAGGCTTTTGGTGAATCCTTCACAAGGGTCCAGCATGTACTAAGAGTTGTACTGAGAATAAATGCATGCTCAAGAGTTCTCCAGGAACAAGAAAGTGGGTTACTTTAGCAGAGTGCGAGCCTGTGTCCTAGGAGTAGGTCCTCATGCCCCAGGAGTGAGCTGTATGGTACTCCAAGCAATCATCCTGTAATAAATGTGTTGAACAAGGACAATTCCAGATGAGCTGAGGAGAAGCAGCATTGCCTGGTCAGTGTCAGGAGAAGCCTTAGCCTGTGGCTATATCCCCTACAGATATAGCCATAGTAGACAATCCATTGTTGAGACTCTATTCCCAAGTAATTCTAGGTTGTGCCAAGTAGATAATTAAAGCTAACTGTCATATTATGTATTTCGGCATAGTTGTAGCTAATACATATATTCTTTATTCTTTTCACCTGAATCTAAGATCCAGTTTTTACCATCTTGGGATTTATGACCTGGTAACATCCATTCAGAATGAAGTCCAAGGATTATTGACCTATTTCCACCCACCTACTACTGTGCTAGGTACCCAACTTGTCATGTATCACTTTCTAGCTGGATTCCTTCTTCATCCCTCTAGGGGGTAAAGATGCTGAAGAAATCTGTTGAACAGGAATGTCCCAGGCTATGAAAGAATATTTCTCTTGTATGCCCCGAGACAGCAGCAACTACCCCCCACCCTGCTAAAAACAAAATGTGTCCAGGCTTTGCAGTGACCCTGATGGAATGCTTTAAGCCCTGGTCTCCTACTTCTATCAGGCAATAGTTGTAACATCTTTTCATCCAAGGAAGTGTTCTCATCCTTCTTACTGCTGCAACCCTTTAGTTCCTCATCTGGTGACCCCCAATCATAAAATTATTTCTTTGCTACTTCATAGCTGTCATGTTGCTACTATTACGAACCATAATGTGCAATCTTCAAAGGGGTCATGACCCACAGGTTCAGAACTACTAATCTAAGACGCAATGCAACCCTGGCTGAAAGGAAGTTAGGTAGGAAAATCCTTACCTCTTACATTGCAATCCTCTTGCCCTACAAGCTCTTTCTGTGTCTTTTCATTATAGAACATTCAAGTCTCCATCCCTGGCCTGTTGGTCCTAAGTTTATAATCTCATTAGGACTAATCCTGTTTACGGCCATTCCCTTGGCAGAAAAAAAATCTCGTCAGGACTGACCCTCTTTCCTTGCCACCCACAGTTCTGGTTGCTCCATTGTTCCTGGGGATCTGGCCTGGCTGTGGGTTAAGCTTTCACTGATAGGGTTTATCCTGTTTACAGGGTGTCTGCAGAAGGACCTCATCAAATACTTCCATCCCTTCCTTGAATAAATGGTTCCCTTTGATCTGCGCAGGGCAAAATAGTGTTTATCAAAAGCTTGGCTTCCTCTAGCTGATGTGGGGACATCCTGTCCCAGAATGCCTCCCCAAAATAACACTTTCTAAATTTCAGAATATCCACAGGTTCCTCTTTCTTAGTAAGCATTTTTTCCCTGCACACTATCTCTTAGGGCAAGCAAAGGAAGGGCTGGGTTTTAGTTTTTGAAGCTGAAAGTCACACGACAGGTTGCTGTCAATGCCAAACAAGAGGACAGGGCTGATATAATGTAAATATTTATAACCAAAACAATATACATGAATTCACCCTGGCAAGATGAAATTCCCTCAGGTACTGTCCATTTAAAATGACAAGTTATCTAACAAGGTGAGAGAAAGGTCATTGCTGTTAGTCATCTGAGTAACAGGGTGGGTGGGAGCCAACTCGATGATGCGTGTGAGCAAGTTAGCGTTTAAGACGTTACCTGGAAAAGAAAAGCATTTTAAACCAAGTGTTTCCTAAAGTGTGTTCCTGGGTCAACAGTAAGTCCAGGGAACTCCTCAGAAATGAGGGTCCTCAGAACTTACCCTAGGTACTGAGTTGGAAACTCTGGAGTAGAGGACCAGGATTGTTATAGCTAAGTAGAGCCAGTCAAGATACTGTCCCATCTACCATGGGCCCATTGTCTCCTCCACAAGGTATTCAAACAATTTGTAAATCACTTTCTGAGAGAAAGTTTCCCCTCTGGCTATCCTAAGCTTTAGACTTCCTTTCTCCACACAAGAGATTCCTGGGAGGCATGGGTGGGTGGGTAGGGGGAGATTCCAGTTTCTTAGAGTCCATTGTTTCAGTGGTGTGATAACCAAAAAGTAGGGAAGGAGTGTCTGTTTAGAATATCTTCATTCCTGCTAGGCTAGTTACAATGAAACACAGAGAGATAGGTGTGCTTGACCGAGCCCTCTAGGTGATACTGACACTCTTTCCCAACCAAAGAGAGAATGGCTTTGCTAACAGCAGCCGTGGTCTCAGACCCCCCCATGGTCCTCATACTCCCATAATCCTCAGACCTCCATAGTCCTCAGACTCCCATAGTCCTCAGACGCCCATAGTCCTTATACTCCCATGATCCTCAGACTCATAGTCCTCAGACTTCCATGGTCCTCAGACTCCCATGGTTCTCAGACTCCCATAGCCCTCAGATTCCCATCGTCCTCAGATTCCCATCGTCCTCAGACTCCCATAGTCCTCAGATTCCCATCGTCCTCATACTCCCATAATCTTAAGACTTCCATAGTCCCCAGGCTCCCATAGTCCTCAAACTCCCATAGTCCTCTGACCCCCATTGTCCTCAGACCCCCATGGTCCTCATTCAAACCCCATTCTGAAGAAGCAGGCTCACTTGGTCTAAGGTGGAGTTCAGCAATGTGTGTGAGTAACCAGATGCCTAGATGACTCAGAGACAGGTGGTCAAAGACCAAGCTTGGGAAGCCCTGGCCTATTCAGAATATAGTAGAAATTTTCCATCTGACTTCAGCACCCTTCTGGATTGACTCCCTCTCATGGCTGGCATTGAGAGGGTATCCTAATTCACAGCTCACTTCCCACTTGTTCTGTGAAGCAGGCTGCTAAGGTTACCTATTGTGGCAGGTGATTCTTTTTGGGATTACTAGAAGGCTACGCTGGCCCCAGCCACTCCTTTCACAATGACATCTGAAACACATTGCTAACTCCTAACCTGGGCTGGGTGCTAGCCGATGGTCTGGAAGGCAAAGCTCTTTATCCCATGGCTTGTTCCTTGAACCACAATCCAAGACTCAGCTTGGTTTTCCCAGGAGTTTTGTTTTGCATAGCTGATGCATTCCAGTCATTGCTGGGATGTGTTTCTCTTCTCCTCTTTCCCTTCAGCTTCTGGACTGTGCCATATATACAGGCTGCCCCTGTAACTTACTCTAGTCCTTCTCCTCTCCCCAAACCTGCCTGGCCTGCAGGATCCTACCCATTTGCTGCACAGAACCAGACTGGCTGAGACCCCAGCAACGTCAGATCCCAGCTCAGAGAACTCAGCCTGACAGATGTGACCTTCTAGGTATGGTATGCTGGTCTTTGCTTCTGTTTGCCTTTGAACTTCTGTTTACAATTCTTGCCAGTTTTGAGCATCTCTAGAGATCTGATAGTAGTTCCTCATTTTTTTTTTGTCCCACAGAACAGTATTCTTTGTGGGTTAAGTGTTGTTAGGCAGCCCCTTTCTCTTGTCATTCCTTGGTCTCCCACAGAGATTGTCAGCACTAGGGTAGAGACCTTCAGTAGTAATATGGGGGGGTCTATGTACAGTTTTACAGTCTGTGCAGTGCACAGGGAGATCAGGGGAAGAAGAAAATGGGAATGACATTCCAGTATGCATTCTGCTCACAAGGGTGAGTGAGTGACACTGTGGACACCTGGAAGCAAAGCACACTGTTTAGGTTGGTTTTTTTCTCTGACAAATATTTACACAAATGTAAGTAATAATGTTAGGTTATCAGTCGAAACCGAATTACTACATCTTGGTGTCATGTTACTGTTTGTGCAAATGTGTAAATTTTGAGTGCCTGAACGTATTTGATGGAAAATTGTTAAGCCATTTGTGATTAATAACTACTTAGAGCAGTTTTAGCCTTTAAAAAAAGAGAAAGTGTAGAAAGATCCACATGTCTGCCCTCCACCCCACCTCTGTGTCCTCTAACTATTCACAGCTTGCATTAGTGTGATAGGCCATTGCAGGTGACAGTATTAGGGAGGTTTTTGGAAATAATGACCACAGTACACATTAGGATTCATCTGTGATGTACCTTCTGTGGGTCTGGATGCATGTATGATAGCAGGTGTGTACCATTACTGAATCACAAGGAATAATTGATGCCCTAAAGACCCCCTTGTTCCACTTAAGTCATCGCTTCCTTCTTCCTTCTTCTCTCCTCCACAGACCCTGACAACCACTTACCTTTGTACTGTCTCCATTGTTTTGAGAAAGGTACACTTTCTGTGTTTTTTTTAAAGAGCATCTACAGCCTAAATGTCAGGGATGCTTCTGCCTAGAGGGGCATCCTTTTAAAGATTTGCACAAAGGCTTATAACAGATAGCCAAGGCCTTTATTCCCGGTCCAACCTAATTCGGGATCTTCCTAGGGATCAAATCCAGCGAAGCCCAAGTCTCTTACTCCCCTTTGCCAAGTACAGCCTTTTCTTGCTAAACGTTGCTGTCCAAGTCTGAAATAGTTGGTACAACAAAAACATCAGCTTAACGACTTACACAATAACCATAGTTGTGAAGCTTGGAGGCTCAAGATCAAGGCACCAGGCAGGTTCAGTGTCTGGTAAGGGACCTGTTTCCAGATTCATAGATGGTCATCTTCTCCCTCTGTCAAAAATCATAGAAAAGGGAATGAGGGTATTCTCTGAAGTTTCTTTTCCGATGGAACTAATCCTTCATCTCACTTACTCATCTCCCAGAGGCCACACCTCCCAACACCATCCCACGTTGGCAGTTAGGATTCCAACGTGTGATTTGGGAGGCACCCCGCCCACGGCTTGTCATTCTGTGCCACTTCTCTCTAATGCCTCTCCCAGGTGACTCCCTTAAAGGCTGAATCTTTTCAACATCTGTACAGCCCAGTGTAGCAGCCACTAGCTACACAGGACTTGTATGATAGGAATTGAATTGCTAAGTTCTATTTCATTGTAATGACTTGAATCTAAGTAGTTCATGTAGCATACAGCTGCTCTATTGGACAAGGTTAATATTTTAACTATGCCATACCCCTCACAGTGTTAGAATTCACAAACTTTCCCCCAACCTTCATATTTGATCTCCTCCATCTCCCTCAAATCTTTCCTATTTAGAAAACACACAATTGCTCCCAACTCTACAGTAAAAGTATTTCCCATGTTCCATTTCTGTATCAAATGGGTACATACACTACTATTTCACCCATGGTGATGTGTCTTATAAGATTTCTTTAATATGTGAGGTCGAAGTTACTTTTCTACACCTGTCTTATGTTTTCTTCTGTTGAACATTTCTATTCAAAATGCTATATCACTAGTTATATAACTATGCTACTTAATCATTCAGGGACTCAGGTTTACCCTTTATAAAGTGCAAAGTTCTGACAATACACATATACTTAGTCAACTTTGGAACTTTCCTGAGGTAGTGTTAAAAATAATGAGTTAAACAAAACTAATTAAAACAAACTTTGGTCATACAAAATAGCTCGCATAATCCCACCCACGCTCGCCACCCCTTTTGCCTGCCTAGCAGTGTTTTTGAGGAACACAGCAACTTTCCTGAGACTAAGACCAAAACAATATTTTAAGAAGCAGTAACATCCAGTTTAGAGTGAGTCATGGCTCCTGACTCTGGTGGCTACCCTGACCACAGACATTGGTGAAGAGTCTATAGGGTGCCCTGGAAACATCTGCACAAACCTTTTATTTCCAAAGCTTTGAACAGAAATAAACACAGTTGGTAAGCCAAGCTCTCCATTCCACAGAGCAAATAAGAAGTTAAAGCATAACTTGAGTCCACAGCCCAAGTCCACATGCCTGGCTCTGGCCAGCATGCCTATGTGGGCTGTCAGCTCTCTGTCTTACACAAGCCGTAGGAAACCTGTGCACAGAAGTATGAGCTGGGCTAAAGGAGGCACCATTCTGCACCTTTTACTGTGCCACTGACTGCCCCTTCAACTTTTTTATCTGAATGATTCACTAAGAGCAGCCAAATGTGACAGCCAAGCTGAAATAACTGATTCCTGACTTTGGAGGGTTTGAACAACTTTCTCCTATTGCTTACTCAGGCTTCTTCTTTTGCTAAGACGTGACCCTCCTGCCCCTGTGTAAAATAAGAACAGTGTTATCATGAAGATAAAATGAACCCAGAGCAGGTTCCCAACCCACTCCACATATACAGAGGTGGAGTTGGGGGTGGGTGTATTGAAACCTTCAGAGGCCCTGAAGGTTAAACATTTAGTCATCTTCCATCACCTTTCAAGTACTGTTTGTCTTTGATAGAGTTGAGATTCCCACACAAACAGGAATTATCTCAGCATTTTTTCAGCATTTGCACTCCTGTCCTCATAGGGCCTGGCACAAAGTAGGGATGAAGCAGAAAGCTTTGAATGACACATATTGGACATTTACGTTCACTGAGTTTGAGTTTGGCTCCTTCAACAAATAACTTGCCTCCCCATGCCCAACTTTCCTCTTTCTTAAAAAGGTGACATCCAGTTGTTTTTACAATGGTGCATGGGTCTCTAGAACACAAGGAGAATTTGTTTCCATTGTTTTTTTAAGGTAGCACATCAGAAGGGGTTTCTTCGTGTCATTTTCACATAGACTTTGTTCTTATCCACCATTCCTCCTCCACCATTCTCCCCTGTTCTCCTGAATCCATTGTGCTGGTCTCCTTCCCCCTTCAAGATGTCTCCTTTCCACTTTCCTACTTACTAATTACACATGTAACAGCAGTTAACATTTAGAATACACAAAGAACTGCAAAGCTAACAACAAATGAGTCGATAAAATGGCTTAACAGACTAAACAGACAACATTAAAAGTAGGAGCACAAATGGCCAAAAATACTTGAAAAGTGTTCAATATCCTAAGCCATTAGGGAAATGCGAAAGGAACTGCCTTGAAATTCTATCTTACTCCAGTCAGAATAGCTGTCCCCAAGAAAAAAGTAGCCAACAAATGCTGGTGAGGAGGTAGAAAAGGAGGAACTTAATTATTGCTGATGGGAATGTGTTGTTGTAGACAAAAATGAAATCGATATGGCAGCTCCTTGAAAAAACAGAACTGTCACATGATCCACCTGTACCATTCCTGGTTACATAGCAGAAAGACTCTAAATCCTATCACAGACACACTGTACATCCATGTTTATTACTAATAGTCGCTATTAATTAATAATAATATTTGATGAACTATTCACAATAACTCAAAAAGGGAATCAGCCTTTGTGTCCACCAACAGATGAATGAATAAAGAAAACATGATACATATACACAATGGAATTTTATACAGCCATAAAGAAAAATAACATCTCGACACATGCAGAAAAATAGATGCAATTGGAGGGCATTATGTGAGGCAAAATAAGCAGGACTCACAAAGACAAATACTGCATGTTTTCTATGCAGAACCTAGATTGGAATGTTTGTGCATGTGTGCACGTGTGCATGTGTGGGTGAGTACATGTGCTTGTGTGCACGTGTGTGTGTGTGTGTGTGTGTGTATGTTTAGATTATGAAACTAGAAAGGGGATCTTGACAGGGAAGAAGAGATCTTAAGGGTGGGGTGGGAGAAAGGGTAATGAGATATGTGTGGTATTTCAAGCTGTTTTCTCTTCCTCATCCCCCTGTTAGCTTGTCATACTTCCTCTCTCACCTGTGAGACCCTTTCCACTCTCTGACTAGTCTTCCCCAAACTTCCACAGTTAATAAGTTCCCTGGAAGATCTGCCTCATGCCTAACAGTCAAAGAAGGAAATCTGTTCTCACATGCACATAACTCATAAATAGAAAATGAATGTCTGAAAATCATCCTTGTATTCTGAGTACAGGAAGGAAAAAAATCACTGAAAGTCTTTCAGACTAATTCTAGATCCTGCATGCACAAAGTCACCTCTGGTAAACTAATGGATGAATTGTGTCACCAAAAAATCACCAATATCTGAGAAATCATTAATATGAGTGCAACCTTCTGGGGTTGTGAGAATTTGACAAGGTAAATATGAAAAGGACCAGTTAAAAGAATTTCCAAACTGTGAAAAGTGACAATTTCTCTGCTCCTAACATGGCAGTTAAACATCATTGTGACTTAATTTTTAATCACCTAGGACACAATCTTTTAGGAATATCTTAGAAATTGTTTCCAGAGAAGTTTAACAGAGGTAAGCCATACTGTACCAAGGTAGTACTACTTCTGCTGTAGTGCTGGATGGGGTTATGGGGTGGGGGAAGAAGAAAGGAGGAGAGAGGAAAACAGGAAAGGAGAGGAGAGGAGAGAGAGAAGAGAAGAAAAGAGAAAGAAGAGAAGAGAAAGAAGAGAAGAGAAGAGCAGAGAAGAGAAGAGAAGAGAAGAGAAGAGAAGAGAAGAGAAGAGAAGAGAAGAGAAGAGAAGAGGCAGAGCAGGGAAGCTAGCACCAGTGTTCATCTCTCTCTGCTTCCTGACTGCAGATATGATGTGGTCTTGAACTCCTGCCATGCCTGCCCATGCTCTCAAACCATGAAGCAAAACAAAATCTTCTCTCCTTAATTTGATAGTGTGGGGCATTTGTCACAGTACCAAGAAAATGCACCAAAACACTTGTTCTCAAACCTTGGTCCATTCCAAGTTCCAAATTGATCTAAGAGGTTTAGCAAGGGACTTTTCCTCTCCCTGCAGACTCCCTTATGAACTGATGGGTCTGCCTCCCTCTTGGGAACTGCAGAAGAAAGAGGAACTCTATCTCTCTCTCTTGCCACCCCCCCCCTGCCTCCAACACTGTCTCTCTTTGCCTCTTAGAAAGGCCTACTCTAACTTGTGGATTAAATTTTATACAGCGGTAATTCTACTTCAGTATTTGTCATATGCTATCCTTTAATGGAATAAGGTTGTGAAATCTTATGCTTAACCCTGGCCTCACTTTTTAAAAATTTAATAATACCATACTTGAATTTTATAGCATTTTCAGGAACAGATATTTTTTGGCCTTTTGAAATTGAATAATTTGTCATTTGAGAGCTGACTATTGTAAAATTGAATTATCTTTAACATACAGAATTACTTTAACCCATTTAATTGTGTTTTACAGTTAGGAGACAGTCACCATGTCTATAGTTCTTTGAAATATAATGAAATTATATTTCATTGCTGTTTCTTGTTTAAATGTGATCTAACAAGATTAAAAGCTAACCTCTAAAAAAAGTGAGAGAAAAAGTTAACACTAGAACCAACATTCCAAAGAACACAATTTCAAAACTGAGGTCAAGTTTAGGGAGTCCCTCGATGGTAGCATCCTGTCCTGTGGACAGACCATAAAAATGCATTAGAAGTGATAGATAGGGGCTTCAAAAGCAAACAAAGATCTCAGAGCATTTTGCAGTGCTTTGGGAGGGGAGGATTCTGGTATTTTGAAACAGTTTCTCCGTGTAGCCCTGGTCATTTAGAACTCGCTCTGTAGACCAGGCTGTCCTCAAACTCACAGAGATCTGCCTGCCTCTGCCTCCAAAGTGCTGGGATCAAGGGTGTGCCTTCTCCAGCCAGTTTTTGCATTGCTTCTTAAAGCACTGCTTTCTAGTTCTAAAGGAAAAACTTCAAGTTTTCATCAGCAGATCTCAGCGTGCCTCTTGTCCTGTTGGGAGTGACTCTTTCCTGA